TTATGAGGGGGAAAAAGAGGAACAAATGTAATAATCTGAACAATTAAGATTTAATTTAAAAAAAAAGAAAAAAAAGAAAAAAGAGATAGAGGAAGACATAAACAAATGGAAGAATATACTATGTTCATGGATTAGTAGAATCAACATCATTAAAATATCCATACTACCCATAGGCAATCTATAGGTTCAATGCAAACCCCATTAAAATACCAGTGGTTGCCCTAACCAGTTTGGCTCAGTGGATAGAGCGTCGGCCTGCGGACTCAAGCATCCCAGGTTCGACTCTGGTCAAGGGCATGTACCTTGGTTGCAGGCACATACCCAGTGGTGAGTGTGCAGGAGGCAGCTTATCGATGTTTCTCTCTCTCATCGATGTTTCTAACTCTCTATCCCACTCCCTTCCTCTCTGTAAAAAAATCTATAAAATATATTTTTTAAAAATACCAGTGGTTTATTTCACAGACCTAGAACAAACTCTCCAAAATTTCATATGGAATAAAAAAAGACCCCAAATAGCAGCAGCAATCTTGAGAAGGAAGACAAAGTTGGAAGGATCACAATACCGGATATCAAGGAATATTACAATGCCACTGTCCTCAAAACTGCCTGGTCCTGGCACAAGAACCGACATAAAATTAAAAGAAGCATTCAAATCTGCTTTCTAACCTCATTAACAATTAGCAGGGCACTGGCCAGAGTTTGTACCCTGTGTTTTACCTTAACAACATTCTATTTGCTCTTTGTATATTTAAGTGTTGTAAGGAAATGTGTTTCAATCAAAACTGAACATGAGATAAAGGAAAGAGATGTGGCTTTTGTGATATTCTATCACAAACACTTTTATTGTATCTCTGTAAAATACAATGTATGTATGCATGTAAGTGTTTTCATCCTAATGTTGCTACTCCCATGGTGAAGAAAAAGAACAAAAAATGGAAAAAAATATTGAAAAAAAAAACAGGCTCATAGCAGCTACTGTGTAGAAATTTCCCCCTACTTCTAATTTGCTGAATGAAGAAAAAAATCTATTATTTGTGATATTTTCAGAGACATTTGTTGTAGTATGGTGTATTTAAATAATAAAAACTTAAAAGAAAAAAATAGATAAAGGACTTAAATGTAAGACAGGAAATCATAAAAATCTTAGAAGAATCCATGGACAGCAAAATAGCAGACGTATGGCATAGCAATATCTTTACCGATACAGCGCCTAAGGCAATGGAAACTAAGGAGAAAATAAACAAATGGTATTACATCAACATAAAAAGCTTCTGCACAGCAAAAGAAACCATCAACAAAACAAGAGAGCCTACTGCATGGGAGAACATATTTACTAATGTTACATCCCATAAGGGTTTAATCTCCAAAATTTATAGGGAACTCATACAACTTAACAAAAGAAAGATAAACAAACCAATCAAAAATGGACAAAGGACCTAAATAAACACTTTTGAAAGAGGACATACGGAAGGCCAAGAGGCATATGAAATGATGCTCATAGTCACTAACCATCTGAGAGATGGAAGTCAAAACCATAATGAGATACCATCTCACACCTATCAGAATGGCTATCATCAACAAATGACAAGTATTGGAGAGGATGTGGGGAACAAGGAACCCTCGTTCATTGCTGGTGGGAAAGCAGACTGATGCAGCCACTGTGGAAAACAGTATGGAGTTTCCTCAAAAAATTAAAAATGGAGCTCCCATTTGAACCAGTAATCCCACTTCTAGGAATATATCACAAGAAATCAGAAACACCAATCAGAAAGGATATATGCACCCCTATGTTCATAGCAGCACAATTAACCATAGCTAAGATTTGGAAACAGCCTAAGTTCCCATCAGCAGATGAGTGGATTAAAAAACTGTGGTACATCTACACAATGGAATACTATGCTGCTGTAAAAAAAAGAAGGAACTCTCACCATATGCAACAGCATGGATTGACCTGGAGAGCATTATGCTAACCAAAATAAGCCAGTCAGAGAAAGGTAAATATCACATGATCTCACTCATTTGTGGAATGTAATGACCAACATAAGCTGATGAACAAAAATAGATCCAGAGACATAGAAGCATCAAACAGACCATCCAACCTCAGAGGGAAGGCAGGAGCAG